ATGTCCGACAAGTTTTACAGAATTACATTCAAGGTGGTGTTGGCTGTGACAAAGCTATTGGATGTTGACAACCGACCCAAGAAATTGCACATTTGAGGGACTGCTTCTGCAACAGCACATCCCACAACTGGCAGTACAATTGGAAATGGTCTCTCTCTCTCTCTCTCTCTCTCTCTCTCTCTCTCTCTCTCTCTCTCTCTCTATCTCTCTATCTCTCTATCTATCTATCTATCTATCTATCTATCTATCTATCTATCTTTTCCTCCACGTCTGTTTCCGAGTGCGAAGTTTTGGCTATTGCATTTACACAGACGAAAGCTGTGATATCTTTGACAGAATCCGATGCAGCAGAGGTCAGGCTCTCCTGCATATATGTGGAGGAAATGCCTGATAGGTGTGAAGTTTTGGCTGTGACATAAACATGGAGGAAATGTCCGACAAGTTTTACAGAATTACATTCAAGGTGGTGTTGGCTGTGACAAAGCTATTGGATGTTGACAACCGACCCAAGAAATTGCACATTTGGGGGACTGCGTCTGCAACAGCACATCCCATAACTGGCAGTACAATTGGAAATGGTTCTTTAGATAGCCTGTATACACACCATCATCCAGTCGCTTTACGTCTCGGCCACCTCCTTCCAGAAGCTGCGTCATTCTCTTGACCTCCTCTTCATGCAATGACAACCGTTTCTGGCATGCAGAATCACAATGTCGTCAACCCCAGGACCTTGGTCCACATTCCCAGAAAAGGAAACAGCACAGCCCATTTCCATGCCAGCTTCCAAAACCAGGGCCAAAACTGGATTCAAACCATATTTAAAGATGATATTTTCCTTTCTTTTTTTTTTCTCTTTCTTTTTTCTTCTCTTTCTTTTTTTTTTAAACACCGGCCAATACTAGTATGCAGGTGTGCAGGTGTATAGGTGTGCAAACAACATGTCACGAACTGAGGTATACTGTGGAAGAGACGAGAGGGAAGAAAGACAAATGATTGATGGTTAAGCAGGTTAAGGGTACAGAATCGACAGATGGCTGGAGGAGGACGAAATCACACTGACAAGCAACTGTGTCAATCGCACTAACAAGTAACTAGTAACTAACTCAGTGGTCACCATTACGATGTTATCTGACAGCATTGGCGCACGGAGTTGTAACAAACATTTGAATTCAGTCTGACATTAATAAATTATCTGAATGTTTGTGCATTAAATCTATTGGCAGAATTGTGACATTGTTTTGTGATGGTTGGTCGTGTGTATAGACTTCTGTTGTTCATCCTGTATAGATACTCCAGTTATCCCTAGCAACTAACATGAAGATAAAGAAATTACAAATTACAATAGATAAATAGTAAAGTAGAATTGTTTCTGATTGATTCGATTGATTTGATTGATTTGCTTCAATTTGCTTCAATTTGCTTCGATTTGATTCGATTTGATTCGATTTGATTGATCTATTGATTGGTCGATCGATTGGTCCATTGATTGATTGACTGATTTGATCAATTTAATTGATTTGATGGATAAGAATTGTAGCCATCAATGCCATCATCACTGCTACAGCAGCCATTAAATTAAAATTATTAAACACTAATTGTAGCAAATTATAAACACTAATTGTAGCAGTGCACTTGCTTGTCCTATAACTCTGGGGTTGTTTGTGGACTTAAATCACCACTACCTCCCCAACCCAACATGTTGAGCATCACAAGCCCAGGTACCATACCAGTTTCTGGCAGTCCGGCAGCCAAAAATCTGGGCCCATTGTATTCACTACATCGGGAAAAAGGAAGCCCTCCCGCTCTCAGGTCGTGGTGGTTTGACAGCTTGTTGCCCCAGTGGCTGTTACCATGTGCAAGTTTTACTTTTCATTAACAAAATTTGAAATTTAAAATGCCTTGAGACTTAATTGTGAGAGAGAAATCAAAGGCAAGCCACCAATCGTCAACTGATGAACAGCCCTGAACTCCTCTATCAGGGACCGTGAACCATACAATCCAACACGATGTCAATGATGGCGGCTGACAACCAATCATTGCCACACAAATATGCACCAGAAGTATTGCACGCCATTAAATTTGATTAAAATGAAAAGTGTAAAAGAGTTTAAAGAACATATTGCCTTCATCTGACAATTGAGAGACATTTTTAAATGATTTTTTCTTTTTACTTTTTTAAATACTCACTAGAGAGAGACAGATAACATTGAAGGGTATTTTAGTATGTTATTCAACGTTATTGTTATGCACTTAAGGGTCTTAGACAGAGAAAATCGTGAGGTCCCTGGCTTTAGCTGGAATTTCCTCATAATAAAATTATATTGCACTAGTATTTGCTTTCTTAAAGTTTCTTTCTTGTTTTTTTTTAAAGAAAACAGGTCCTTATGGGCCCGGCTTTATGTCCATTCTGGGGAACATAAAAAAAAAAAAAGAGACACAGAAATGCACAGCCTTCAACTGAGCCTTGAAAATACCTCTGTGCACAGTGTGTCACAATCGTATCAGGTAACAAGCTGTGGTGTGAACCTCGCGACACACCTCCGCATCACGAAGTTGTCGCTGCAACTCTGCCTGCTCCTCCTGTGCGGTGTTTAGCTCCCGTTTGATGGCGCTGATGCTCAGGTCTGCCATCCTACATAACCACATCTGTGTTAGATAATGCTGCATGGATAAGCAAAGTTTAAGAAGCAGCAATAACCCTCCCTGCGCCCTTTCAAATAAAAAAAGGAGGGAAAATAAAAATTGAAACACGGTATACAAGCCTCTCTCTCTTGCCCTACCTGCAGGTTTGGCGATGGGCTATGGTCTTTCTCTGAAGAGAACTAGGTCATTATCGCTGTATTCAGGCTGAAAGTTGCCCTGAATACAGCTAAAATCACATACGTTCTGTTCGGCAACATCTGGACCTGTTCTTTTCTTTTTGTCTTTTTTTTTTTTTTTAAACCTCTTCTCTTCTTTACGCAAAAGGGAAAAAAAAAACAAAAAAACTGGCCTGACTCAGTTGGTACACCTACGAATTGTTGAAATGCGGACCTGAGTTTGAATTCCAATGAAATCTAACGAGTGAAAATAACTCTGAATTTAGCTGGGGCTGGTCAGCTCAAAGACGATATCTCAAGGCCATCACCCTTGGAAAAAAAAAAAAAAAAGAGAAAAAAGAAAGAAGACGTGGTCCATTCTATTGATGGACCGGGGTCCAGCAGTGTCGGGAACCCTCATTCTCACCCCGACATCAAGTCAAAAAAGAAACAAAAGCACCTGTTGTCATCTACCTTGCACCAGATGACCTGAGAAGAACCCTTTGACATTCTTAATGAACCTACACATCTGATCCAAAGCTAAGTGGGGATCCGGGCCGCCCGGGTGACCGGCAGGGGCCTGGGGGAGGTCCCGGGCGGCCTGGCCGGGCAGGGCACCTGGTTGGGGGCAGGGCCCCCCAGCGCACTCACCTGTAGGGGGGTTTCGGACCCCCTTTTGGCTGGTGTTGGCCTTCAGCAGGCCTAGTGGGTCCGACCGGCCCAAGAAACCGTCGCGTCGGGCCCGGTAGGCTTGATTTCTTGATATTTGCGTCGGCGCCAACCTTCCCCCCCATTCAAACCCGGGATGAGCTGGGGTGGTCTGCCACTCGCCCCCCAGCACGATCAGAGTTGCTCCTGCGTCGTCGCCCGTCACCCGTCGCTCGTCGCCCGTTGCCATCGCCATCGACTGCCCTGCTGCTGCTGCTACGACAAAGGCCCCAACTGTCCTGCTGCTGCTGCTACGACGAAGACCCCAAAGACGAAGGCGTCGTTCTTCTTCTTCTTCTTCTTCTTCTTCTTCTTCTTCTCGGAATCGTTTAGGGTTTGTGTAGGACGGGCAGACAAAGGCCCTGCTGCCAGGGTAACTGTTGCAGGAAACGACGAAGGCCCCGACAAACTTCTTCTTCTTCTTCTTCTTCTTCTTCTTCTTCTTGTTGATCATTCGGTAGGTCACGTGAGATACGACAGGCCGTCCACCTACCCCCCCCTTCTCGGCTCTTCTTCTTCTTCTTCTTCTTCTTCTTCTTCTTCTTCTTCTTCTTCTTCTTCTTCTTCTTCTTCTTCTCTCCTCCTCCTCCTCCCGTCTTCTTCGTCTTCCCCTGTCCCCCTCGCATTTTCATCTTCCTCTGTAACCTTTCTTCTTCTTCTCTGTCTTCCCCTTCTCCCCCACTCGTTTTCTTTCTCCTCCTCCTCTTCTTCTTCTTCTTCTTCTTCTTCTTCTTCTTCTTCTTCTTCTTCTTCTTCTTCTTCTCCTTCTTTTTCTAGTTCATCGACATTCGGTAGGTCATGTGAGACACGACAGGTGAAAAAAAAAAAAAAAACGAAGGCCGTCCTCACCCCCCTCCTTCTCCGCTCATCTTCTTCTTCTTCTCCTTCTTCTCTCCTCGCTGTCCTCTTGTCTTCTTCTTCTTACCCTCCTCCCCCTCGCGTTTTCATCTTTCTCCTCGACCTTTCTTGATCTTCTTCTTCTTCCCCTCCTCACCTCTCTTCTTCTTCTTCTGCTGCTGCTCCATTCGCTAGGTCTTCTTCCCCTCCTTCCCTACTCCTCCCTGCCTTTCTCCATACCCTACCGCTGCCGCCATACCCTACTGCCATACCCGACCGCATACACCGCCGCCGCCATACCCTACCGCAGCCATACTTCTTCCCCATCTTCTTCTTCTTCTTCTTCTTCTTCTTCTTCTTCTTCTTCTTCTTCTTCTTCTTCTCTCCACCTTATCCTCCTCTCGTCTTCTTCGTCTTTCCCTCATCCCCCTCGCGTTTTCATCTTCCTCCATCCCTCCCTCCATCCCATCTCGCCATCCTCCATCATCCATCCATCCATCACTCCCTCCATCCCATCTTGCCATTCTCCATCCTCCATCATCCATCCCTCCCCCCCTCCATCTCGTCATCCCTCCCTCCCTCCCATCTCGCCATCCCTTTCCCCCACCATCCATCCATCCATCTTCTTCTTCTTCTTGGATGTTGTTAAGCAGTCTCCCTCCATTCCTCCATCCTCCCATCTCGCCATCCCTCCCCCCCTCCATTCCTCCATCCTCTCATCTGGATGTCGACATTCAGTAGGTCGCGTGAGACACGACAGGTAAAAAAAAAAAACAAAAAAAAACGAAGGCCGTCCTCCTCCCCCTCCTTCTCCGCTCATCTTCTTCTTCTTCTCCTTCTTCTCTCCTCCTCGTCCTCTCGTCTTCTTCTTCTTCTTCCCCTCCTCGCCCTCGCGTTTTCATCTTTCTCCTCGACCTTTCTTGATCTTCTTCTTCTTCCCCTCCTCACCTCTCTTCTTCTTCTTCTTCTTCTTCTTCTTCTTCTTCTTCTTCTTCTTCTTCTTCTTCTTCTTCTTCTTCGGCTCCATTCTTTGGGTCTTCTTCTCTCCTCCTCTTCTTCTTCCCCTCCTTCCCTACTCACTCCCTGCCTTTCTCCATCCTCCCAGCCATCCATCCCTCCCTCCATCCCATCTCGCCATCCTCCATCCTCCATCAGCCATCCATCCATCCATCACTCCCTCCATCCCGTCTCGCCATTCTCCATCCTCCATCATCCATCCCTCCCTCCATCCATCCCATCTCGCCATCCTCCATCCTCCATCATCCATCCATCCATCGATCACTACCTCCATCCCTCCCTCCATCCCATCTCATCATCCCTCCTCCCTCCCATCTTGCCATCCCTCTCACCCTCCATCCATCCATCCATCTTCTTCTTCTTCTTGGACGTTGTTAAGCAGTCTCCCTCCGTCCCTCCATCCTCCCATCTCGCCA